ACATATTGATCGGCTGTGATGTACCCGAGGCGCATTGGGTTCTGGACCAAAGGACAGGAGGTTGTAGAGATCCGTATGCTGTGTGCACGATGGTTGGTTGGATACTCTGCGGGCCGCTCGGTCATGATGGTAATTATTCAGCCTCAATTAAATTCATCTCGCGGCCAGGCAATCTCATAGGAGACGACCTGGAGCAACTTATCAACCACGAGTTCGGCGACACAGGAGACGACCGGGTATCTATGTCGAGGGAAGACCGAGCAGCCCTGGATGTCGTCACTGAACGACACAACACAACGGAACCCAGTTGAAGTGCCGTTACCCTGGCGAACGGGATCCAACCGACTGCCAGACAATCGAGAAATAACCCTCCACAGGCTGAACTACCAAAAGGGACGATTAAAGATGAACGGGCAGATGAAAGAAGCCTACTGTAACGCCATGAAACGCAATCTAGAGTTTGGATATGTCAAACGCGCAATGAGAGAAGTCGAAAAGGAGCAGCCGTTGTGGTACCTTCCGCACCACCTTGTCATAAACGCCAAGAAACCTCAGAAGATCCGGGTTGTCTTCGATTGTGCTGCNGTCTACTACAAGGCCCAGACCTGACGACTCCGCTGATTGAGGTGCTGTGCAGATTTTGTCTGAGGTCAGTAGCGACAGCGGCTGATATCGAGATGTTCATGCAGGTCAAAGTCCCCGAAGGGCAAAGGGACGCTTTACGGTTGTGGTGGTGGCCGGATGGAGACCTAGACGGACCTACCCAAGAGTATCGGATGACGGTGCATCCGTTTGGTGCGATATTCTCTCCCTTCGAAGCAAACTTCGCGTTAAAAACGACCGTGAACAAATTTGCTCAGCATTTCGAAACCCCGGTGGGCTCCTGTGTTGAACATAATTTTTATGTGGACGACTTCCTGGGATACTTTGATAGCATCGAGGAAGCAGTTCGATACATTAGGAACCTATTCAAGTCACTGCTCATGGGGAGGGTCCAAGTTGACCAAGTGGATGTCCAACAGTCGTCATGCAACCGATTGCATCCCACATGATGAGCGGGCACCGAGTCTCCGCTATTTGCAAAGGAGTCCGTTACCAACAGATAGAACACTTGGTGTGCAATGGGACTAGGAGGAAACAAGTTCTTGTTCTAACCCCAGTTACCCGAGACGACAGCCTTTACAATCCAATGGGGTTCGTCGCACCATGGCTACTACCGGACAAGATTGTGCTGCAGGACCTGTGTAGAAAAATTGTCACTTGGGATGAGACCCTATGCGAGGCGGATCACAAGATCTGGCGAACCTAGTGGCCGAGCCTATCCAATCTGGGCGATATATGACTCCCTCATCCCATAATAGGAATGCAAAAAGGAGAGCACAGTTTTTTTGGAGGCGTTGGAGGTGGAATACGCGGTGGCCTACGGTTGCTCGTCTCGACCAGGAGGAAGGAGGCATAGCAGTATTCTGTTCGCAAAGGCCAGGGTTACCCCGCTAAAGGCAGTCTAAATACCCAAGCTAGAACTAGCCGCAGCAGTATTAGCCGTGAGGATAACGAGGGTGCTCAGAAGATGTTTTAACTCAATTGAATGGACCGCAACCTCCTGGACCTATTCCGCTATAGTCCTTCACTATGTTAGCAATGTACGGACACGCTTCAGCACGTTTGTTGCCAACCGGTTGGCTGTCATTCACGAAGAAACGGAGGTGTATCGATGGCGGCACATAAAATCCTGTGACAATCCAGCCGAC